AAAACCCTGACCATTAAAACTTTTTAACATTGATTTTATGACTTTACACCAACAACTGTTGCTTTTAGCACCCACTCGTAAAAAAAATAAGAATTGTATAAATAAGACTTTGCAAACGGTTTAAATCTTAAGGTTTGGGTTTATTATTGTTGATTTTTTTCTATATAATAAGGCTGAAAACAAAACATTTACGAAAAATATCATATCTTTGCCTTACAACCTAACCCAGACTCTCAATACCTTTACACCCATTTTTATTTTTATGCCACACAGCAGCAGACCAACTCTGATATAAAGTATGACATGATGTCTTGTATAGCCAGAGCATCCACCCACTTTTTTATTTTTAGATAGAAAAAAAAACAAACAAGTAACAAGTATTAAATGTTAAGGCTTAAACGAAAACTCAAGTACCCTACAAAATAAAATGTTTAAGAATATAACTTTCTATAGGGAGAGAGCATTATCATTGGCTTATGATGCGGCCCTAAGCACCCGATCGGAGCCAATATTTTTATAATGGGTTTAAAGATACCTACGACTACCTAATCTTTTGCTTCTAAATTGAGAAGTAGACCTCAGTCGGCAATAAAACCCTATCAAGGACAATACGACAAGAGAAATAGCACCCGATCGGAGATAATACAATGCGTTTATAATGGGTTTAAAGATAACTATGACTACGATTACCTAATATTTTGCTTATAAATTGAGATGTAGACCTGAGTCGGCAATAAAAACCGTTCAAGAACAATACGACGAGAGAAATACTTAAGTTCATATTGGGCTTACGGGTACCTATGTTCCAAAGCATAAATGGAATCCATTGACATAAATTCTTCGGCTCTTGGTCGACTAACTAAGACTCATTAACGAAGATTTCCAAATCAATATCATCTAAATTGACATGGGAGAGAAAAACTGCGATTAACAGTGAGCATATCGGATGTATTCTTCGACTCTTGGTCGGCTAACGAAGACTCATTAACCAAGATTACCCAATAAATAGCATCTACGTTGACATGCAGATCAAAGTCAACTATAGCACCCGATCAGGGACAATACTTTGAGAAAAAAGCATCGGTTTATAGTGGGCATAAAAAGTATCGGATGACACGTATTCTTTGACACTAAGTCGGCAAATTAGAACTCATGGACCAAGACTTTTAAATCTAGGATAGTATGACGTAAGAAATGTTTCGGTTCACAGTAGGTTTATGGATGTCTGTGGTCCAAGGCATTGACCAAGACTGCTTAGACAATAGCATCGAATTGAGATGCTGAACTTAGTCGACTATAGCTACCGATCAGGGGCAATAGAGAGAAATGCTTCGGATTATAGTGTTCTTTGGTTTAAAATGCTTAAAAGATAGCATCGAAATTGAGATGCGGAACTTAGTCGGCTATAGCTAACGGTCAGGGACAATAGGTAGAGAGAAATGCTCCGGTTTATAGTGATCTTACAGAGGCCTATGATCTAAAGCATTGACATACATTTTTGACCCTTACTCAGCTAACTAAGACTCATTAATCAATACTGCTTAGCATTTAACTTGAGTTGTAATCCTCAGTCGACTATAACATTCCAACAGGGACAATATAACGTGAGAAATGCTTCAGTTCATAATAAACTACAGCTGGCTATAGACCAAGACATGGAAAGAATCCGAAAACAATCATTACTTGGCTCTTAAATGTCTAAATTTCCCTCCTGCAACAAACCTTAGGACCAACAACAACTTATCCCCTACAAGCCATTATAGCAAAGGCTCACAAATATAGAGCATTCATTCACAAAAGTATACAAAGTTTTCTTTTTTTATGATTTTTTTTCCTCCAGTAAAGAGTAAAATAAATACCCCAACAACAAAAAATACATAAAACGTAAATATATGTATAACAAAAACACACTTACTTGAATAAAAGTTTATGGGAGAAAAAAAAAATTGTATAAAAAAATATATAAAGTCTGGCGTCAAAATATGACTTGGAAAAAAGTGGGTGGGTGGCTTGTGTTGTTTGTCTGTCTGTCTGAATGTGATTTGAATATAAAAAGTTAGCAAATATATGTGGTTGGGTTTAACTACTAGGAATTGTCAATATAACCTTGAACTTTACGTTAACAAACAAGAAACGAAAGAGAAAAAAACGTTTGAAAAGAACACAATTTAAAAATAAAATTTTATAATAAAAAAATCCTTATAATGCAGCTAAAAGTGTGCTTTAGAAATTGTTATAAATTTGAAAATGAAAGGCCAGCAAAGAGTAGTTGTTTGTATAGAGAACAAATAGGTTTCGGGAAAAGTTTGATTAGATATTGTAATAAGAAATAATATGTCTAAAAGGGTTTCTAAAATTGGGCTTCTAAAAGTAGTTAAGTTTTATTTGAAAGTTGCCTAATTGTATGCTGCAAAATGTTTGTTGTATTATACAGTGTATAGAGTTTAAAGTATCTAGAATGTTCTTAAAGAAATTGTAAAAAAGTCTTACAAACACAGTCTTGTAAAGAAGTTAAGAGGAGATTTTTGATTTGGCGCCTAAAAGTAGATGAATTTCTTTTATATAAAAGCCTAATTGTATGCTTTAGAAAGTATAAATAGGATACTTGAATTTGCGCCTTAAAACCTTTTCCTAATCAATTGTAGATCATTTGTATAGCAAAACTAGAGGATTTTTTTTTCAACTTTTGAGAATTATGAACTGAAAAGTATGCTAATGTCTTTAGAATTTACATATAAAGCCTAAAAGCATTCTATAACGAACCATTATAAAGTAGGCTTCAATACATTGTAATACGTTCTTTCGTAGACTTCTTAAACGAAAACAAATTTCATCATAATCAAAAACCATCCATAATAATGACTCATTCTCTCATATCTTGTGGGTAAAGCCAACAACAACTAACTAAGAATGTGGGTTCTTGGCTAGTACAACATCGCAAAAACCCCCTTCAGTAACATAAATGATACTAAATGACTGAATAAGAAAAAAAGACGTAAAAAAGAAACATATTGGCATTATTTTAACAATTTATGCATAACGATAGAGTCTTCCAGGAATACGGCAACAACATAAAACCACACTACTACCAGACGCCCCCTACCTAAACAATACAAAGCCTTAAAGAATTTCAGACAAACGTAAAAAAACAACAGCGCGAGAAAAAAAATACACAAAGCGGATGTTTAAAAAAGAAAAAATCTTCATTTTATATATTCTTTACGTTTTTTTCTTTCTACTTGCAGTTGAAAGGGATTGGCAGTAAGAGCAACAGCAATATTGCATTTAAAGGTTTTATTGAAGCATCAACAGCAGTGTTGAAAAAGCCATGGCAACAGTAATACCACCGACCTCAAATGTTGAGGCCGCCTATGAAGATATGTTCAAAGAAATCACAAGAAAATTATATGGTGAAGAGACCGGAAATGGTTTGCATACACTAGGAACCCCCGTAGCACAGGTGGCAACAACAGGACCCACAGCAGCACCAGAAGGTGAACAAAGATCATTTACAAATTTGGTAAGTTTTCAAATGAAACTTTAAAAAACAAATTCTCAATAAAAAACTAAAAAACAAAGGAAGTTGCAAATTGTAATATAAAAAAAACACAATTTTTTTAAATTTTAGCAAATTGATCGTTCTACACAACCTACAATTGAATACGAACATAATAATCCCAATAATGCAACAGCTACCTCGGTGGCTGCTGCATCGGCCGCGGCTGCAACAGCAGCTGTTATTGCTGCCGCCACAACACAAAATGCCACAAATGTTGTTATACAGCAACAACCAGAGGGCTCTGTGGTTGTAACAACCACCACAAATACAGGTGGAAATTTCAAATCGGAAGATCATTTGAGTACGGCATTTGGTTTGGCGGCATTAATGCAACAAAATGGTTTTGCCACCACAACCGGTACTATATTAAGTACACAGGCTATAAATAAAGTTATAACAACGGCTGCTGGTAGTCAACAACAACAACAGCAGCAGCAACAAAATGTGACAGGTGATCAGCAACAGCAGCAGCAACAACAACAACAACAGCAGCAAACTTGGTCTAATGAGGGCACACAACAGCAAGATCAACAACAGCAGCAGCAGCAACCCGCACCTACTACGCAAATTGTGCAGTGGACTACCACACCGAGTGGTAAATTACAAAGTTATTCAACTACCACAGCACAACCACAACAACAACAGCAGCAACAGCAACAACAACAACAGCAGCAACAATTAGCAACTCCTAAGTCAAAGTAAGTTAAACAATAGTTATTAACAGAAAATTTTCTTAGAGAAAGATTTTCGTATTCTACACTTTTACAGCTTAATTCTGCTAAAGCTCTAGCCCATTCTAAAGCTTCATTTGCTCTATTTAAGTTCTCTTCTAAGTTCAATAAATAGCACACATTTGAAAAGTGTAGTTGCAGATCTGTTGATCTCTGAATAGAAAGCTTTCTATGAATTCCTTCTTTCTTCGCTTAATTTTGCAAAAGTTCAAAAGCTTTTAGCATAAAAGCTTGCACTATAAAAGCGAACATTCTAAAGCTTTATTTTGCTCTACCAAAGTTATAATCTAAGTTAAACTAATGAGACATATTTGGAAAGTGTATTTGCTGATCTATTGATCTCGGAATAGAAAGCTTTTAAAGAATATAAAAGCTTTTCCTATTCTATATTTAACACTTAATGGGTAGAGAGATAGTAAATGCTTTTTTTGCTAGAATTCCAAAGCTAACACCGAGCAAGATTAACTCATAATAGCGAACATTTTAAGCTTTTCTAAAGCTTCTTTTTGCTCGACTCTACTCTCAGCCAACATGAACAAAAAATACACATTTGCTAAGTGAATTTGCTGATATAACGATTTAGAATATATAATCAGATATAGAACAAAGGCAATTCTGATAAATAGGGTTCATTTTAACGTTCCCTGAGTTTGTAACAGACAACTCTGGTAGTTCAAATAATTGACAAACAAAATTTTATAATCAAAGCTTTAGTACAAGATTTTTTTTCTTCCATAATTTTGAATATAACCTTAAACTCCAATCAACAATGATTCGCATACACACCGATAATTTTGTGCCACGTTATGTAAACGGCTCTTGGATTTGGAATGATGATGAAGAAAATCTTCATTTCGATTCACGAGAAGAAGCCTCTAAGGAGGTTAGCAAAGAAGAATATGTCAATATTGGTGGCTATAAATTTCTGGCATCAATTAATCAATTGGAGGAAATGATATTTCGTCAAGAATTTCAAAGATCCGATACTACACATGATTATGAGGCTGTACTACTGCAAGATATTAAAGATTTAGTAATGTTTCTATCACCCAAAGAGATTCTAACAAAGGATTTTATATATTTTCTCAATACCAAAACGGTGCATCAATTCCTTAAAGCTTTGGTAATATATTTTGAGTATTTTATGAAATTTGTAGAATTTATACTCATACGTAGAGATGAGATATCGGGAGAAAAGGCTCAAATACAAAGTGAGGAGAGTACTGAAATTAAAAGAATATATTCGAAACATCTATCGCAATATCGTTTATTATTGGCCCGTGAATACAGTGAGATTTTGTTGGGTAATGGAGAAATGCGTAAATTCTATCACCTAAAACCTATAGTTAATATATCGCAGTCTATTAAAGATAAAGCTTTTCATGAAGGCTTCTTGGCTTTTTGCACAAATTTTGTTTGGATAGCCATGTTTAGAAGAGATTTGGAATTAATCGATATGGAAATGAATCGTTTGTTTAGATCTGAACATTTTTCCTTAGTACGTTCCGAGCGCTATCAATTTTCCCCGGTGGAGGCCAGCATGTTGTATGGCAAGAATTATAAACGTTGCAATTATCGTGCACAAAATTCTCCTCTTATTATGGAACTCAGTAATGTGGAAAAGGAAAATGTTCCATTACTATGGACAGGAGAACGAAAATATCGTGGTACTGATTTGCGTATATTTCAAATTGAATTGGAATTTATTGTACCAGATTCACAACTCTCTTTAATTGATGTAAGCCATGGTATATTGGGACATCCTAGGAAAATTTATGACACCATGCTTACCATTAATTGGGAAGCGGTAAGGTTTCAAAACTATTCCGAATTATATGATCCTTATCGTATTATAAGACAACCCTATTTGGAAATACCAAAATTGGATGCAGAAAACTTGCGTAAAAATTGTGAAAAATATGAATCCTATTATCAGTTAAAACATTCTTTTGAGGGCTGGGATCGTAAAATGTTGAGAAAATGGTTGAAACGTGATGAAATTATAAATTTCTTTAAAACAGAAGGTATTTTAACGGATGTGTGGCAGAAATGTCAAAAAGAAATTGAACAGATTGGTTATGGGCCATCTGTAGAAGAAATAACCAAGAAGTTTATAGCACGCAAAGAAAAATTAAGAAAGAAATGAAGTTGTATTTTGGAAAAAAAATTTAATAAATTTTATTTTTTAATAAAAATCCTTTTAATTTCTAAAATTTGTATTATCTTTTAATGATTTTTACAGAACTAACAAAAATCGTAATGATCATACCTCTCCACCCTTAAACAATGCCACTGAAGTCATCTATACTAGTCCCTCAACCTCGGGTAATATGACACAACAACAACAGCAGCAACAACAACAAACACCTCCCAATGCTAATACTTCTACATCCTCGAATACTTCATCCTCTGGCGGTAGCTCTACGAGTAGCAATAGTCGTAAGAAATCTTCAAATAATCAAAATAATAATAACAACAACAATGGACAACCTTTGGTACAAAAACGTTATGCCTGCACACATTGTCCTTATTCAACAGATCGCCGTGATCTCTATACACGTCACGAGAATATCCACAAAGATGAGAAACCATTCCAATGTTATGCCTGTTTGAAACAATTCAATCGGGCCGATCATGTTAAGAAACATTTTCTGCGTATGCATCGTGAAATGCAATATGATATCAACAAGACGAGAAGACATGTGCCCTCTAGTTCGGGTGGTGGCGGTGGTCATCATCATGGTGGCGGTAGAAGTAATATTACTATAACAACGGTAAATACTCCCTCTTCCTTCTCTACTACTACTACTACTACTAATAGTAATTTACTTAATGATGGCAATATAATTGAGCAAAAACCTATAATCTTCCAGACTCAGGCGAATGTTAATTTGGAACAAGCCTTTTTGGAACAGCAGCGTCAACCTACTTCATCTAGTCTCAGCATAGCCGAAACCATAGAGGCTGTGGCCACAGCAACTGATGCCCCCTTGCCGCAAATGAAACAGGAGAAGAATGATGATGGTTCTTTGGTGACGGGTCAAACGGCCAATGTTAAGCCCAAACGTGAAAAACGTTTTACCTGCTGCTATTGTCCCTGGTCGGGTGCCGATAAATGGGGTCTCAAGAGACATTTAAATACTCATACAAAACCTTTTGTATGTCTATTATGTGATTATAAAGCAGCCAGATCGGAAAGATTGGCCACTCATGTTTTAAAAGTACATAATAAAAGAGCTTGCAATAAATGCTCTTATCTAGGAGACACTTTGGAAGAATATCAACAACATTTGAATGAAGTGCAGTAAGTACTTTTTTTATTTCAAATTTTATTCTCAAATAACTATAATGTTTTTCTTTTACCATTTGCTTACAAAAGTCCTACGACTCCCTCTAATCGTAGTAATAGTAATAATAACAATAATTCCACAAATAATACTACAACAACTACTAACAACAATTCTTCAAATAATTTAAATGTATTACGTACAATTGGCAATACTTTAGGAAATAATAATAATCAACTAAATCAATTTCAAAATAATAACAATTTTAGGTAATTAACTATAATTCTAGTAAAGATTTTTATATTTTAAATTAACATTTCTTCCTACTTCTTATGCAATAATTAATTAGTGTTAATAATGTTTCAACAACTACAACAAATGGCAATTCTGTTACTATATATACCACTACGACTACAGATAATCAAGGTGGTAATATTACAACAGGTGGCCCTTTACAAGAAATTATCGTAAATCCCTCTTCGATGGTGGGTTGGCGTTTAAGTGCCAATGGCTCTTTAATACCCCCACACGATTTGTTGACGGGAGGCCTGCCAAACGCCGCAGCCCAGAAACGTGGCTCTGAGCGTTTATTTCAATATCTTGAGGCGGACGGAAGTGATCCAGAAGATTATGCGCGGTACATATGAAACTAAATGTTGTGTTGAAGTTTTTGTTAATTTTTTGCTTTTCGTTTAAAGTGGTTTATGTTAAACCTAAATTTCGTTTCTACTTTTTTTCTTTTTATTTCATTTTACCGCCAAAATGTATGGCTTTATTTAATGAGAAGTTAATTTTTTATTACTTTGCTTTATAAAAGTTTTTGTTTCTTTTGGAAATCAGTTACAAACTGAAAGTAGTTTTAAAGATTATTATGTTATTTTCCTTTTTTAACTTAACTTTTCTTTTGTTCTATTTGCTTAAAGTTTTTTTAAACTATTTTTGCACCAAAAACTTATAATTTTCTTTTCTCCTTTTACAGTCTTTTAAAAATGGACGCAATTAGTCGCAATACAGCTTCAGTCGCTCAGGATTTTCATAAGGCGGGAGGCGTGCACGAGTTGAAACTACCAGCAAATCATCAACTCCTGTTCAATAATAAACTGCCTTCACAATGGACGACTAAAGAAGCAGCTGCTTTACTGCAAAGTCTTAGCAATGCCAACAATTTGAGCTTTGTCTATCAACAGCAACAACAACAACAACAATTGCAACAACAGCGTTCCAAATATGCACCCACAAATGGTTTCCTTAATCAAAATGGCAATGCTGGCCAACGTCAGCGTCAACATTCCTCGGGTGATGATGAAAATACTCCCTCCTCGGGATCATCATCATCGACAGCATCATCTAGTGATGATATGTCACCGATTAAAATGGAACGATCTACTAAGGCTTATAATTTGGTATTAAATAATAACGAGCAGAGAAAGGCGATGTCAAAGACATATTTACATAAAAATTATGATTTGCAAGAAGCATCTTCCAATTCATCATCAACGAATGCAAATGATATTTTTATAAATGCAGCTAATAATAACATCATCAACAACAACAACAGCAGCAGCAACTTCAATGGCAACAATGCTATCATTAGCCATACAGACATAATGAAAAATCAAGAAATCTTCAATGAAGATCAAGAAAATCAAGAGCAGCTTATTAGATCGTCTCCCGCGTATAAATATAATAGTCAATATTATAATAATAACAACAACAACAATACAAATTTAAATAAAAATAACAACAACAAGTCGTCAACAAAAACCAACATTAACAACAATAATATTATTAATAATAATAACAACAATAATTATCAACATCGCCTTGATCTGCAACACAATAAAGAAAACAACAATAATGCTACATTCCTAACACAAATGGAATTTCAAAATCTTAATAAAATCGGTACACAATTTCAAAATTATGTTAAAGATATTATAAGCAAATATTATGCCGCCGAAACTCCGGTAATGTTTCCCAATATGCCCACAGCAACTACTACTGCTCAGCAAAGTCAACAGAGATCGAATTTACAAACTTCACCTAAACGCAAAAGAATGTTAAGTGAAACTGAAGAGTATATAGAGTATTTGAAGAATAAAGAAGATATTACTTTAACCATAACACCCAAAAATAATCCAAATAATGCTCAAAGCAACAATGGTCTTATACAAAAATCGCCTTTGCCTTTGAAAAGAGAACGTGATTTAGCTTCAGATTCTTATAAGAGAATATCACCAAAGAAACAAATGTTGGCTGCAGCGACAGCACAAGGAGTTTTAAATACTCCTCCCACCCAGCCACCATTAGCAGCGGCTTTGACACAACAAAAATCCAATAAGAAATCTATATCACAATTGGCCACTTTATTGCCGCTATTGGCAGATGCCGCTTCTCAGCAACAGTATTTAACTGCACCTTTAGATTTTAGTAAAAAGCCTGCTGGTGATCACACCGATCTTGTACAAATAAAACAAGAACAAGAGGAAGACAGTGTTAAGGTTACGGTAAAACAAGAACCCGAAGACTTTACTCTCAAACAACAAGAGCCCCAAGATCCCATAGAAACGCAAACGGCCCACAAAGCTTATGCCAATTTCTCAGTTAATGCTTTGCTTAACAATATCGGTCTTAATGCCGACAAACGTTCTTCACGCAAACAGGCTCAACCCAAAAAGATACGTGTTCCTCCAGAGATGGTTATAGCTATGTTAAGAGATAAATATCTTAATCGTATGGTGGATCATAAACTAAGCTGTAAGGATTGCATCAATTCGAAACGTTCATCTATGCTAGTGTTTAACTATCACACCAAGGCATCATTGTGTTTGCATCGCTTGTGGAAGCATTCGGAAAAACCACAGAAATGTAAAAAATGTGGTGAGAAATTTAAGCAAAAGTATAATTTAAAATTACATCAATTAAAAGTGCACAGAAAAGTGGCCAGAGCTTAGAGATGACTAGGTAGAAGAAGAAGGTGCTAAAGGTAAAAAAAAACATAACTGGGCATTTGAAAATTATAGTCAAGAATTTGTTTACTTTAGTTTGTTGTATTTAACAATTAAGTTTTCCTTTTGTTTGGTTCAGTACAGAAAGCTTTCTAAACTTTTATTTTAGGAAATGTATTTCTAGATAACAAAACATTTTGTAAACAAAACTAAAAGCATTTTGTTGTCTTAAATTATACAAGGAAAGCTTATAAAAGCTTTAAAGTATAATTTTAATATGCTGCTCTTTTTTTGTATAACGTTTACAAAGCTTTTAATGAAAAGTCTTATAAAAAGCTTTCTTTGCAAAATCTTTCATATTGCCTTAAACAAAAATATATCTTCCGTTTTTAAAACTTTTGATAATTTAAGAAACTTAAAAAGCTTTTTATTTTCTATAATTTTTTTTTATAAAGAAAATGTTTAGTTTCAAATTGAAATTACGAGAAAATTTAATTTTAGTTAAAAAAAAAACGAAAATAATTTTGTAAAAAAATTAAGAAAAGCTTAAAAATCTACCTTTTTAGAGCTTCTATGCCAAAAGCTACTTACTTTTTTAAAAATTTTTCTAAACAAGAAAAGTTTTTACAAGTTCTGTTATTCTTGAGTGAAAGCTTATGAAATTTAAGTTTTTTGAAAAAAGCTTTTCCTTTTCTATGAAAATTTACCTAAATTACAAATTTTGCAAACAAGCTTTTTAGTGATTTCATTTAAAGCGTTCATTTGCTTTCTTATTAAAAAAAGCTTTTGTTAAAGCTTACAAAAGCTTTTTACTATTTTTCTCAACTTTTTGTATAAATTTATTATAACAAGTATAAATTAAGGCATTTTTAAAAAAGCTTACAAAAGCTTTATGTAAAAAGCTTACAAAAGCTTTTTGTAAAAAAAACTTACAAAAGCTTTTTTGATTTTTTCCAATATTTAACTATAAAAGCTCAAAAACGTTTACTATGTTTAGAAATTATCTTAATTTAAGACTTTTTTGAAAAAGCTTTTTGCTTTTTTTCTCAGCTTTTTGTATAAATTTATTATTTATTTTATATTTTTAGCATAAAATTTATATTTTTCTTTTAAATTAAGCCTTTAAAGGGATAATTTGTTAAAAAAAAATTAACAAATTTTCCAAAAAACTAAATTACTGTTTTATAAAGTATTAATTAAGTTTGTTTTTTTTTTATAAATGAATTGAAAATTTCGTTTGAAATAAAAGTATTTATTGAAGAAAAATTTTATTTTATAATTTTTGTTAAGAAAAAATTTAATAAAAAAGCTAATTAGCTTGCCATTTAAATAAAAATTAAACTGAAAAACAAAATACAAAAACAACAAAACAACAACACCTACTCAATTACACAAATTTCCATAATTTTTAAAAAATGAATTAAGTTTTAAGACAAATTTAAGTTTAAATTTTAAGTTGTGATGTACCTGAAATATGATTTCGTCTAAAACAAAAAAATACATTAAAGAAAAACTTTATGCTTATAAAATTTAGTTTTTTTTAAGGAAAATACTCTTTACCTAAAGTAGAATTATTAGTTATAATGAACTTATTAATATAATTTTAATAATTAAGCTTTAATTTGCCATTTATTTAATATTTTTTTGTATTAGTATAAAACAAGAGTTATAGTGTTAAGTTAATTTTTTTTCTGCCTTATTTTTATATGAATTTAAATCTATTTTATTAATTAAGCTTTAATTTTTTTTTCTTAATTTAGTATTAAAAACCAGCCTTTTTTAGTATTTAAGTTGAAAAACTACACAAGTAAAACAACAATTTACCACCTTTTTGAAAAGTTCACACTACTCCCCTCTTAAACTTAAAACCTTAATAAACAAAACAAACATTCTTCATATAATAAATTTAAAAAAAAAAAACTAAATTATTTATAAAGAAAAAAAAAGCCGACAAAAAAACTGACTGAATGGTAACAAATAAATATAAAAAAACAATTTTTAAAAACAAAAATACACGGCATATTTTTTATTTTTTAGTATAAAAAGAAATTGTATTTTTTATGTAAGAAAGTTTGACAAGAACAAAAAAAAATGTTACAAAATTTATGAAAAAACAAACAAACAAATTTTGGTATATAAAATTTCTACAAAATTTAAGAAGAAAATAAAAAATACATAATTTAAATTTTAGGCAATGAAACAAAATCTATCAAAAAAAAAAAAAGACGTTAATTTATGATTTTTTAAAAAAAAAAGGTATAAGAAAAAGACAAATTATTATTAAATAAAGAAAATTTTACTTTATTTTTAAAAAGCAAAGAAATTAAACTAAAAAAATATAAAAAAGAAAATTTTTGTGTCGTAAGGAGAAATTGTTGGTAAAAAAATATTTAGTTTAATTATGAAACATAATAATACAACAACAAGAAAAACAAACAACAAAAACAACATACATTTCTCAAGAACAACAAAACCACAAAAGAATGAAAACCAATAAAAAATATTAGTTTAACAAAAAAAATATTTAATTCAAAGTGTTTTATTTGAAAGGAAAGGGAGTCAAAGTGTAATTGGAACTCAAATTTTAGGAGATATAACGGGTTTATGAAGTATGTATTAGTCTATAGTCTAGTCTATTGACTTGTCTATAGTCTAAAGATGAGTCTATAGTTTAGTCTAGACTAAACTACAAATTAGTATATTGTCTAATCTATAGATTAGTCTCTAGAGTAGACTATTATATAGACTACAATATCTATTGGCTTGTCTAGATATAAATTGACTGTCTATAGATTAGTCTTTTGACTATTGTAATGACTCGACTATAGACTAGGCTATTGACTCATCTATAGACTAGACTATAGATATATGAACTAGTCTACTGACTTGTCTATAGACTAATCTTTTGACTCGTGAATATAGACTACTAGATTGGCTCCTATATATGGGCTGGTAATTCTAGGTCATAATTATTAAACCATGGCTCATTTATTGAGAATAATAATTAATTGCAACTTTAATGTGCGGTGTTTTTTATAAACACTGCAGTTGCTGGAATAAAACACAATTTCACAAAACACACTAACTGCAGATAATTTCTACAGCACCACTGTAATTGTGCAGTTTTTATGTTTTATTAATTACTTTATATTCAATGTATTTCTTTTAATATAAAAAAAAACTTATATAGTTGTCAAATCTAAAATAATATTACCGGACAATGAGTTTTTGAGTTCCCTTAATTCATAATATGTCTCACCCAAGGTAATTTTTTGAAATAAAAAGTTTACAAAATCCTAGTTTATAAAATATCTTCAAATTATATTTAAAATTTTTAAAGGCTATTCGTCTAAATGTGAACAAACACGCTTTTTCTAGTATTATATTGAAAACAACAAATAAATTCGAAAAATAGTTTTTGTTTTCAATTTAAAGTGAAAATGAAATGTTCGTTTGAATTTAGAGGAACAGGCAGTTAGTTTTTCCCACAATCGACTACATATAAAACTTTTACTAGGACTTTTGTTGGCAAGTGATTTGATTTCATAAACTAATTTTATTATACAGTCGTTTCGGAATTTGTGGAAGTATAAAGTCTCGAACATAAAACTAAACAAAATGATGCTACAATAAAATTGGACAATGAACAAATGAATCCTAAAGCAAAAACCTATAAAATTTATGGAAAAAATCAAAGAAGTCACCCTAACATAATAAATTTCCTTAAAAATCTGATAAAAAAAAAACTTTAAATGAAGCAGAAACAGTTTCTTTTAAAATGAAAAACGTTATACTCAAAGTTATAAACTAAATTCAGTCTAAACAAAAACCTAATTGAAGCCAAATTTAGAAACCCATTAAATTAAACATATTTTTCTTTAAAGTAACAAAATTTTAAGATTTTAAACAATTTATTGAAATTTCGTTAAATCAATATCCTTCTCAAAAGACCAGGCCACACCCCATCTGGTGGTATTGCCCTGATGAAATTCCGTTGAACAAACATTTAAAATATTCTTGTGTTTGAGAATATTTAAAACATCTACTAAACTGCTTTTCAAGCCCAACATCGTGGTGTAGACTCTAAATAGTTGTAGAATTAACAAACAAATTAAAAATTTGCGCATCTCGATGAAATAGAAACTAACAATACCTTATTTGTTGTTTAAACAATAAACTTTCCTCTATAATTTGTTCAACAAACTTAACCTCACCACCCTGGCAGCTTAGCTCTTCCTTATAGCCGGTGGGACAATTGTGGGGTGGAGGTCTTTTATTAGATTTACGGGTTTTATGGTTGTTCTCATTTTGCGAATCGAAAAAGGGCGGATTGCATAAACAGAAATCATAAATTTTATAAGGGGAGCTGCAGTTTTCTTCACTAAAGTATTCTTGGAATATTTGGGTAGTATGTTTTTGAGGGTAGAGTGTTATTAAAGAGGAAAGTTTATTATTTTCTATATTTTTAGCAGCATATTGCAAATTTGTGGCATTCGCTTCTAAAGCCAGCATTTGCCAGTTATTTTTCTTGGCCGCCAAAATACTGTAAATACAGGAGGAGCCACAACCAATATCTATGCCCCTTAATGGCGTTTCTTTAACTTCAGGGGGCACTATATCTTCCAGCCATAGTATATAATTCAAACGTAAAGGCAAAGTAGGCACTAAACTGCCGGGAGCAAATTCCACAGCTAATTGGAAATATTCCCGTAACAAAGTTTGGGTCAAAGCTCTCAAGGCGGCTTCATTTTTATAATCAATACAAACTTTGCCACACAATTCCTTGAGGGGAAACACATTAGTCAAGGCATCGTTTTGTTTTTAACGGATAGGAAAGCATTTTTTAGAATATGTTTGCTTTAGTAGGTACTTACCAATTTGCAAACCCGACGAAATTCTGGATATTTGATGGCCAATTCGGTGTAATCCGGTGGCTGGCGGAAAATATTACGTGGATGCATTTGCTTTTTATTAGCTGCTGTATTACACATTTTTCTTGATTTTTCACTTTCATTCATTATTTTATTTTATTTAATAAACAAAACACCACTAAAATAACACTTTGAGAAGCACTTTATTACAAACAGACGCTTTCTAAAACAGCTGTTGCTTTCAGACTTGCAAAAACTTGTATAGATTTCTGGCGCTTTCCTGTGCAAGTTTATGCTTGCACTCATTCATAACTACATACATACATATATTTCAACAGGCCATTTTGCTATTTGCTTTTTTTCTTCATTTTCGAGCAAATAACTTATTTTTTGATATTTATCTAACACTTAACACTTCTTTAACTAATTTTCACTAAAATTATTTTATTAATTTCGTTTTAACTTATAAAAAACTTAAAATTTCTTTACACTTGTCTGTTTCTTCACTGCTGAATATAATGCCGTTATATTTCAACTACTGTATAAACTAGATTGTTTTAAGTGTTGTAAAATGGTTTTTATTTGATATTTGTCATTTTTGTCTTATACTTAACAACACTGTTTGCATGGATTTGACAGATCTGTCATAACAACTTGTAGAAAAAGCATTGTTTGGTGAAATTCTTGTGGTTTTATTGAAAATGTTAAGAAAATTTTAATTTTTTGGAGAATTTAAAGAAAATAATTAAATTGCCAGAGACTGGTCTGAAATTTTGCTAAAATATATTAATTTTTTTAAGTTTTCATAAAAATTTGTGAAATTTTCAACTGTTATAGAAAATATAATTGACTTTTGTTTGAAATAGTAAGAATTTTTAATAAAGTTTTGCTAGCTAGTCAAATTTTCATATATGTATGTATGTAGTTTGGAAAGGCAAAGAATCTATCTGTGCGATTAGTTAAAGAATTATCTAGGAATATGTTTTCTTTGAACAAATGTGTAAATCAGGACTATAACTAGAACAGAACAGGTCTAAAACTGAACTAGTAATCAATAAGAGCTTAACTAGAACTGAAACAGCACCGATTTAAAACTAATCTAGAACAGAAGTGAAACTGAATTAGAAGTCAACTAGCATTGATCTAGCTAGAACTTAACTAGAACTGAACAAGAAGTTAAATAGCAATGATATGGAACTGAAATAGAACTGAACTAGAACTAAACTAGTACAGAACTAGAAGTGAAATAGAACTGATCTAGTATAGAGGTAGAACTGAACAAGAAGCATTGATCTAATACTGAGCTAAAACTTAACTAGAACTGAACATGAAGTTAAATAGCAATAATCTGGAACTGAACTATAACTGAACTAGAACAGAACTATAATTTAACTATATAACACGGTCTAGACTAATTTAATAACTATTTTCAAGTCTTTAGTGTGATGATGACTAACAGTCTAGAGTCGTCTATAGAATAGACTATTCTATTGACTAGGTTAGTCTATTGACTTCTCTATAGACTTCTCTATTTGAGAACTAAATATACTATTAACTAGTCTATAGACCATTTTATTGATTTGTCTATAGATTAGTCTATTGACTTGTCGATAGTTTTGTCTAGACTTGTATATAGACTAGTCTATAGAGTATTCTATTGACTACTCTAAAGACTATTGACTTGTCTATAGATTAGTCTCTAGACAATAACTAGTGTAATTGACTCGTCTATTGATATTATTCTATTGACTGTCAATAGATTAGCTTATTAAATATTATAATGACTCGATTATAGACTAGGCTCATCTATAGACTAGTCTATAGATTTATAAACCAGTCTACTGGCTCGTATATTGGCTCCTATATATGGGCTGATAATTTTAGGCCATACATCAATTCTATAGAATAATTTTAAATCATGTCTCATTTATTGAGAAGAATAATTAATTGCAGCATTAATGTGCTCAATTTCACTTACTGCAGATAATTTCTACAGCACCACTGTAATCGTGCAGATGTAAAGTTTTATTTATTTCTTTTTATTCAATTTATTTTTTTTAATACAAAAAACTACTTATACAGTTGTCAAATCTAATAATATTACTGGAATTAGTAATGTGCTGACAATGAAAAATTGCCAGCACAATGTAGATTTTAAAGTTCCCTTAATTCGTAATATATCTCATGATATTTTTACCATAATATGTCCTCATCCAAGGTAATTTTTTTAAATTAAAAGTTTACAAAATTCTATTTTATAAAATATCTTAAAATTTAATTTAAAATTTTTAAGGGCTGTTCCACTAAATACCAATGAACTAGGTTTTTATTTGTATTATATTGAAAACAACAAATAAATTCAAAAATTTTTTATTGTTTTCAATATAAAATTATAATGCGAACGAACGCATTTAGAGGAACAGGCAGTTTCTTTTACAATCAAATACATATAAAACTTGTACTACGACTTTTGTTGGCAAGTGATTTGATTTAATAAACAAATTTTATTATACAGTCGTTTCAGAATTTGTGGAAGTATGAAGTCTCTAACATACACCTAATCAAAATGATGCTACAATAAAACTGGTCAAAGGAGATCTAATTACTAAAACCTTTAGTAATTACAACAAACTTTAAATGAAGCAGAAGTAAAAAGAAAGAAGTAAAAAATCTATAAAATTAATGGACTTGTGAAACAAATCTATGAAAAACGCTATTCTCAAAGATATAAACTAAATTCAGTCTAAACAAAAACCTTATTGAAGCCAATTTTAGAAACCAATTAAAATAAACATATTTTTCTTTAATGTATCAAAATTTAAAGACTTTAAACAATTTATTGAAATTTTCCTAAATCAATATCCTCCACAAAAGACCAGCCCACACCCCATCTGATGAAATTCCGTTGAACAAACATTCAAAATATGTTTGTGTTTGAGAATATTTAAAAAAATCTACTACACTGCTTTTCAAGCCCAACATCGAGGTGAAGACTCTAAATAGTTGTAGAATTAATAAACAATTTAAAAATTTGCACATTTCGATTAAACACAAACTAACAATACGTTATTTGTTGTTTAAACAATAAATTTCCTCTATAATTTGTTCAACAAACTTAACCTCACCACCCTGGCAGCTTAGCTCTTCCTTATAGCCGGTGGGACAATTGTGGGGTGGAGGTCTTTTATTAGATTTACGGGTTTTATGGTTGTTCTCATTTTGCGAATCGAAAAAGGGCGAATTGCATAAACAGAAATCATAAATTTTATGAGGGGAGCTGCAGTTTTCTTCATTAAAGTATTCTTGGAATATTTGGGTGGTATGTGTTTGGGGGTAGAGTGTTATTAAAGAGGAAAGTTTATTATTTTCTATATTTTTAGCAGCATATTGCAAATTTGTGGCATTCGCTTCTAAAGCCAGCATTTGCCAGTTATTTTTCTTGGCCGCCAAAAGACTGGAAATACAGGAGGAGCCACAATCAATATTTATGCTCCTTAATGGCGTTTCCTTAACTTCAGGGGGCACTATATCTTCCAGCCATAGTATATAATTCAATCGTAAAGGCAAAGTAAAGCACTAAACTGCCGGGAGCAAATTCCACAGCTAATTGGAAATATTCCCGTAACAAAGTTTGGGTCAAAGCTCTTAAGGCGGCTTCATTTTTATAATCAATACAAACTTTGCCACACAATTCCTTGAGGGGAAACACATTAGTCAAGGCATCGTTTTGTTTTTAACGGATAGGAAAGCATTTTTTAGAATATGTTTGCTTTAGTAGGTACTTACCAATTTGCAAACCCGACGAAATTCTGGATATTTGATGGCCAATTCGGTGTAATCCGGTGGCTGGCGGAAAATATTACGTGGATGCATTTGCTTTTTATTAGCTGCTGTATTACACATTTTTCTTGGTTTTTCACTTTCATTCACTATTTTATTTAATTTAATAAACAAAACACTAATAAAATAACACTTTGAGAAGCACTTTATTACAAACAGACGCTTTCTTAAACAGCTGTTGCTGTTGCTATCAGATTTGCAAAAACTTGTACAGATTTCTGGCGCTTTCCTGTGCAAGTTTATGCTTGCACTCATTCATAACTACATACATACATATATTTCAACAGGCCATTTAGCTATTTGCTTTTTTTCTTCATTTTCAAGCAAATAACTTATTTTTTGATATTTATCTAACACTTAACACTTCTTTAACTAATTTTCACTAAAATTATTTTATTAATTTCGTTTTAACTTATAAAAAACTTAAAATTTCTTTACACTAGTCTGTTTCTTCACTGCTGAAAATAATGCCGTTATATTTTAACTACTGTATAAACTAGATTGTTTTTAGTGTTATAAAATGGTTTTTATTTGATATTTGTCTTTTTTGTCTTACACTTAACAACACTGTTTGCATGGATTTGACAGAACTGTCATAACAACTTGTAGAAAAAGCATTGTTTGGTGAAATTCTTGTAGTTTTATTGAAAATGTTAAGAAAATTTTAATTTTTTGGAAAATTTAAAGAAAATAATTAAATTGCCTGAGACTGGGTCAAGGATACGGTTCTTTAGACTGCCATGACCAATATTTCTGGTGGTAAATGCTTGGGATATAAAGAAAATTGTATGCGCCTGTCGGAGTTTTGACAAAAATTTTGAAATTTTGTTAAAATATATTAATTTTTTTAAGTTTTCATAAAAATTTGTGAAATTTTCAACTGTTATAGAAAATATAATTGACTTTTGTTTGAAATAGTAAGAATTTTTAATAAAGTTTTGCTAGCTAGTCAAATTTTCATGTATGTATGTAGTTTGGAAAGGCAAAGAATATGTGCGATTAGGTAAAGAATTATCTAGGAATATGTTTTCTTTGAACATGTGTAAATCAGGACTATAACTAGAACAGGTCTGAAACTGAACTAGGAATCAATAAGAGCTTAACTAGAACTGAAACAGCACCGATTTAAAACTAATCTAGAACTGAAGTGAAACTGAATTAGAAGTCCACTAGCATTGATCTAGCTAGAACTTAACTAGAACTGAACAAGAAGTTAAATAGCAACGATATGGAACTGAAATAGAACTGAACTAGAACGAAACTAGTACAGAACTAGAAGTGAAATAGAGCTGATCTAGTATAGAGGTAGAACTGAACAAGAAGTGAACTAGCATTGATCTAATACTGAGCTAAAACTTAACTAGAACTAAACATGAAGTTAAATAGCAATAATCTGGAACTGAACTGTAACTGAATTAGAAATGAACTAGGACAAAACTAGAACTATAATTTAACTATATAACACGGCCTAGACTAATTTAATAACTATTTTCAAGTCTTTAGTGTGATGATGACTAACAGTCTAGAGTCGTCTATAGATTAGACTATAGACTATTCTATTGACTAGGTTAGTATATTGACTTCTCTATAGACTTCTCTATTTGAGAACTAAATATACTATTAACTAGTCTATAGACCATTTTACTGATTTGTCTATAGATAAGTCTATTGACTTGTCGATAGTTTAGTCTAGACTTGTTTATAGACTAGTCTATAGAGTATTCTATTGACTATTCTAAAGACTATTGACTTGTCTATAGATTAGTCTCTAGAGTAGACGTAGACTATACACAATAACTAGTGTATTGACTCGTCTATTGATATTAGTCTATTGAATGTCAATAGATTAGCTTATTGAATATTATAATGACTCGATTATAGACTATGCTCATCTATAGACTAGTCTATAGATTTATAAACCAGTCTACTGGCTCGTATATTGGCTCCTATATATGGGCTGGTCATTTTAGGCCATAGATCAATTCTATTGAATAATTATTAAATCATGTCTCATTTATTGAGAAGAATAATTAATTGCAGCATTAATGTGCACAATTTCACACTTACTGCAGATAATTTCTACAGCACCACTGTAATCGTGCAGTTTTAAAGTTTTATTTATTTCTTTTTATTCAATTTATTTTTTTTAATGCAAAAAACTACTTATACAGTTGTCAAATCTAATAATATTACTGGAATTAGAAATGTGCTGACAATGAAAAATTGCCAGTATAATGTAGATTTTTAAGTTCCCTTAATTCGTAATTATCTCATGATATTTTTACCATAATATGTCCTCATCCAAGGTAACTTTTTTTAAATTAAAAGTTTACAAAATTCTATTTTATAAAATATCTTAAAATTTAATTTAAAATTTTTAAGGGCTGTTCCACTAAATACCAATGAACTAGGTTTTCATTTGTATTATATTGAAAACAACAAATAAATTCAAAAATTTGTTATTGTTTTCAATATAAAATTATAATGCGAACGAACGCATTTAGAGGAACAGGCAGTTTCTTCTACAATCAAATACATATAAAACTTGTACAACGACTTTTGTTGGCAAGTGATTTGATTTAATAAACAAATTTTATTATACAGTCGTTTCAGAATTTGTGGAAGTATGAAGTCTCTAACATACACCTAATCAAAATGATGCTACAATGAAACTGGTCAAAGGAGATCTAATTACTAAAACCTTTAGTAATTACAACAAACTTTAAATGAAGGAGAAGTAAAAAATCTATAAAATTAATGGACTTGTGAAATAAATCTATGAAAAACGCTATTCTCAAAGATATAAACTAAATTCAGTCTAAACAAAAACCTTATTAAAGCCAATTTTAGAAACCAATTAAAATAAACATATTTTTCTTTAAAGTACAGTAGTTTTCCGATTTAACGACCATTCAATTCTACGAACATCGCATTTAACGAACAAGCTAATTTTTCCTATTGACTACCTTAAATAACGAACAAAACTTGTTTTTTGTACTCTGTTTAACGAACTAATAAAAATATTATTATTTAAATGAAGATAAAATGACATTTATCAAAAATAACAAATAACCTAAGTTGTAGCGGTGCTTTTATACCCAAAACTGTAACACATTCTGGGTTCTTATTAAATTTTAGTTCGATGTAGCTATGTCCGTCCGTCCTTCAGATAATGACTTTAACGCTCATTACTCGCTTAACAATACGAGTACGCCAATGAAATTCGATTCAAACATGTTCTATACTAACCGAAATCTCTAACAAATTTTATGGGAATCGGTCCATAATTGACCTTACCCTCCATATCAGGCCCCCTTAAGAAAATTACTTCAACGCTCATTACTCGCTTAAAAAAACGAGTATAGCGATGAACTTCGAGAAATAACTTTAACGCTCATGACTGAATTAAAAATACAGCGATGAAATTCGACACAAATATGGTTTGAAGGTGGGTATATAACCCAGCAGTTCGGGCGGACAGTCCCGAACTGCCTATTTAGCCTACCACATAGGGTTACCCCTAGCCACCGACTGTCCAGGTGACTAGCTATTTTAACATGTGCTTGTCCTACGAGGTCAATCGTCACCCCATACGAAGAGACAGACAAGTGTTTTTTAAGTGTCCCCTCTCTCGCTTACAAAGGGGACACCCTCGTTTACAAAGAGTACATCCGTGACGAAAGACGAATTATATCCCACCAGGTGGTTTAACATAAGTGGAAATCACTGTCTTTTTGCTATGCATTGACTCTTTGTCGAACTGCAGGAAAGATTCGGAATTTTGTGTTTTGTGCTATTTTTATAAAAAAAAGAATTAATTTTTATAAAATACATTTAAAAAATATTTTATGTACCTATTTTTAATTATTTTCCTACCAAAAACCCACGTTTTAGTTAGTACTGCATATAACGAACTTTTCAATTTTACGAACAGGCCTGACAACATATGGGTTCGTTAAATCGGAAAACTACTGTAT